CCAACACCAGCCTTGCAAGCAAAGATGGACATATCAACTGTTTCCGTTAGAGGCACCCGTCCTTCTTATGACACCTCAAATGGAAACGCTTTCCGCTTTAAGAGTTCTGCTAGGGCTGGAGCCTGATGACGCCATCAACACGAATGAAGTGCCATATTTGAAGGAAGATATCGAAAGGGAAACCACAAAGCAAGACAGCACCTGGCAGAGTGAGGATGAACCTAGACATGAAATCATCGCCATCGATATCGATCGACAAGGTCAGAATATGAACTCTCGGGTCTTCTCCAGCCAAGGAACGAGAGACCTTCGGCTAAGGGCTTCCACAACTGAATCCGAATCCTACGAGACTAGTGCTAGTTGATGTGGGTGGGGTGCGGCATTCACAGGCTCTGTTAAGATGGCAATCGTTCGCCTGAGAACATTTGCACCGCAATACAAATCTGACAAGGGTATGTCGGCCCCACTTATCTCACGACCTTTCTGATTCATTTTCTACCCTCTGTTTTCAATATGCCCAAGCCCACATTTTTGACGTTTGGGATTTGCGGAATTTTTGGAAGGAGATCTCTACCCGTCAGTGACCCGTTCGTAGTTCGGCACAACGTTCTGGAGAGCACACTTGGGCGCCATAGGGCCGCAACAAAGGGCATTTTCTGGCGCAGAGAGTCAAGTTTTGTTTTTCGGCCAGCATATAATAGAATTTTGGGAATGTATTTCCTCGATACGATCTTCGTTCTCAGCTGAGGGAAGGCTTGGAAGTATGTATCTATTACAGGTGATCAACAAAGCTATGCTATCCGACTGTAGTCATATGCGACTTCTCAATTCTTCCCCTAAACTTCGTTATTCGAAACTCGGACCCCTCTACTATTGATATAAGGGAAGACGAATATTGCGGCGTTAAACTTTCGACCTTGAACCATCACTTCCTTCGAATTCTGACCTCTGATTCCTCTACAATATTATTAACTTAGATCTCACCTCCCTTCGCCTGTCAATGGTGGTGCTCGATCTTCTTAGAGCAATAATTCAATGTTGGATAGTTTTCATGGCACAAGCCCTACTCAGAACATCGCAACATGCGTCTCAGTTGGATGCCCGTTCTCGAAAGTACAATGCTACGGCCCTCGAAACCTTATCAAAAATAAGCAGTGACATAGAGCTAGCTTTTCAATTCACTATGAACATTGCATTTTCTTGTCTGAAAGAACACTACTTTTAACACGCCTGAAGCTCAAATCAATCGGAATAGCGGCCCATGCCAAGTTACAGAATCTCCAACATCGGGTAGATGACCCTCTTGAGATAGTGGAATCTACTTCAAAGATCAAGAAAACGGTTGTTGAGGAAGAACAGGGGCACAGCGTAAAACAGCTCACCGTTCTTGCTGCCGCCTTCTTCTCCTTATCCCTATCTTCCAGCCCCCCCAGTATGCAAACACGGACTGCTGACATAGGACTTCTCTGGTATGATTATTTCTGTGTCTGCTTTCCGTAATTATTCATCGTTTTCCTAATCTATCAGATCGTGCTCACTGCCGACTTATTTAAGGCAATTCAAGCCACCCAAAACGCTCTGCTCCTTGATTCCATTAAGCGGAGGACATCGGAGTTTAGCTATAAAATGGCGAGTTCTGCTATCGTGTCCCTGACTGAGTTGAGACCGAGTAGATTAATATGGAGGGTACTTAGGGGAGTTTTGCATTATGGCTTTATTATGGCTATGTGTTACCTCATTTTGGGTGGGGATGTTTAAATCCTTAGGTTTGGCATGGCGAATTGTGGCATGTGGAGCAGTGGGTTGGGCTGATGGTTTGCTGATACTGATGCTCCTTCAAGCTTACTTTTTTCTCGGAGCTTGAAATGGATATGAATGACCACGATCAAGCATTCGTTATTTTGATTGACAAGGCGAATATCGAGTATGGGGCGACCAAGGTAACTCCTACAGCAAGAATAGCTGAGAGATTCTTCTCCCAATTTATGGCTACAACATGTCACAAGGCCCACTTCTTGCTGTGAGTTTAGAAATTTATGCATAACTATAAAGATCCTGAAGAATGAGGAACGATTCAATGTTTCTGATGACAAGAATGATTGGAAGTGATACCTCAACATATGGCAGGAACGGGGCATGAATGACATCCAAGTTTCGCTGAACGCAATTACAAAACCCACAAACCGTGAAAAAAACCAAATTGACCCCCAATCTACTATATATTCCGAAATCCCCGTGAAGGAGTTGAAGTTCGAGTAACCCTGACGCCATTCCAAGATGGGCCATCTTGATCATGACTCGAGCGACGAGCACGGACCCTAGGAGCTGGAGGGGCACGGCCAAGCACCATCAAAACCAACAACCATTTAGACCTTCCACATACTCTGACCTCTTCCTTCCTTTCTCTATTAACCGCAACATGGCAACAGACCCGATAGACAGTGCTCTGTAGGTGCTCCTCTCCCTCAAAGTCCTTATCTTTCTGGTTAACATCCCAGCGACCTCCTCCGTCGCCTCAATCCCAAAGATGTCAAGAAGAACGTCGATCACCTCATCGAGCTCAACCCCGACCTCACCGAAGACCTCCTCGAGTCCGTCGATATCCCACTGAGTGTAAAAAAATGTTCGAAGACAAAGCGAGACTTCCTGTGCTGCGATTATAATCGGGATGGAGATAGTTGGCGGAGTCCGTGGAGCAATGAGTTTGAGCCGCCGGTGGAAGAGGGCGAGGGCGTGGTGCCGAGTGAGAGGATTCGAAAGATGGAGATTAGGGCTAATGAGGCATTTGATGTTTATCGGGAGCTGTGAGTGGATGTTCTAGTATAATAAGTCAATTGCCTTCTCGAAGGGTCAGTGGGGGACTTGAAACATGGGCTGACAGAGGCAGGTACTTTGAGGGTGGCATATCCAGCGTCTACCTATGGGATATGGATGATGGCTTCGCGGGTTGCGTTCTGCTGAAGAAAGGTATGTTCTTCAATTTCCAGTTCTGAGAATTGGAAGCTGACGCTTCAACAGCCGTCTCACCCACCCCCAAGTCCTCCGGCAGCTGGGACAGCATTCACGTCTTCGACGCCCAAGACCGTGCCCGCACCGCCCACTACAAACTCACCTCGACCGTCATCCTCTCCCTGGGCACCGACTCGGAGGCGCTCGGCGGCATGGACCTCTCCGGCAACATGGTGCGCCAAGTCGAGCAAGATATGGCCGTCGACGATGACACCTCGCACGTGGCCAACATCGGCAAGATGGTTGAAGACATGGAGCTCAAAATGCGCAACCTACTCCAAGAAGTCTATTTCGGGAAGGCGAAGGATGTGGTTGGTGATCTGAGAAGTATGGATATTCGGAAGAAACGTGGGCGCAGATTTTCGCTGACGGATTTCTTAGGTATCCCGCCTTTGAGCCAGACGAATAGGGATCGGGCGACGCAGAAGGAGATGATTAGTAGTATCGGGAGGTGAAGTGATCATTCATGGAAGGGATAGACACTAAAGTCGAGATGCGACACACCAGGAATAGGAATATAGACATATCAATACAGGATCAGCCGCCGGAGTCAGCGAGCTGCATGATTTCAGCCTTGGGTGTTTTCTATGTGAAACCTATTGATCTATTTGATCTACAGTCCTTGACTCTTCGATCATGAACACATTTGGTAGAAAGGACGCCATATCAAAAATCCACTCAATTCGCACCAGATAAAGACATCACATCTCTCCTCAGCCGGCCCTCCTCCACCACCCCCAGCCTCATTCAGAAGCTTGTTCTAAGCCTTCTCCCTTCTCTGACTCTCTAACACTGTCTTCCCCGCCCTACAATACCTCCTCACCCTTCAACCTCGACGCTTCCAACTTCTCATTGAACTCTTGCAATTTTCTACATGTCTTGTCGTGTTCGAGCGCTTAATTTGTTTGGCCCGTTCTGGCAGGGGCGAGTTGTTTCTCTAGCTCTGGATGCATCTCTTTGTTTCGTCTAGTGAGGTAGACATGACCTGGATGGGAAAGGTGGGAAGGCTGGCTTGGGGAGGGTGGTACTAGGGAGTTTTTATAGAGAGGTGGATGGTCGATTGATGTAATAGCGAGAGGGTGGGCTTGATAGGAAGTTTGGTGTTTGTGTTTGATATAGCGAAGCTGGAACGTCATTTAAAGGTTGTTTGGCAAATGTTCTGAATACCCGGATCTCAATTTTTTTTCTGGGTGGCGAGGGTTTTTATAAATTGATTTTAGTATGCTCTTATATACATGATCTACATCTGCCCTCTCTGGTTGAGGATGTTAAGGTGCCGGAAATAATCCTTCTCGCCATACCTCAGTCCTCCTAACTCAAGTTCCAGCTCTACTTCAGATACCCCAGCTTCCTCCATTAATCCCTTTCGAACGTCTTCCTCCCTTCCCTTTGCCTCCTGGTACCTCTTCACTTCAATATCAGACCTACTATTCTCTCATTACTCTTCTCAAGTGCCTCTTTTGTCTCCTCATACGCGTTCTCCAACCTCTCAAATTTGGTTCGGATTACTGCGAGGTGCTCTATGATGCCGGTACCTAGTTCATCTGTGGACTCGGTGGCGGATGTTTGGGTTGATTGATCTTCTTCAGGCGGCATGGTTGTCATGCTTCAGTTTTGCGTATGAAGGAAGGAGAGGAATTCTGAGCAAGGGATAGATGAATGGGAGAGAATGTGAGGTGGGAAGTTATTTTATATTGATGTGTAGGCTATAGAGAGAGATGGAAATACAAACCAAATTCTCTCGTGACTTCCTGCTCGTGTTTGACATATCCAAACCCCTTTCCATCTCGTTTGTCACTATCTCACGCTGTGTCTCAAAGGCATCTTCCAGACGCCTGTCAAGTCTAGCTGCCCTACCCCTTACTCCCAAATAGTGATGCACGTGATGCCGTCATTCACAGTCCCAAAAAAGAACCCTAACCTCCATACCTCACCCCCGTATTTCCACACCGCAAAATAGAAGGAAAGAGAAAGCAAAAAAGAAAGTATAAAGCTGGACACGGGACTTGAACCCGCAACCTTGAGATTAAGAGTCTCACGCGCTAACCAATTGTGTCAGCCCGGTAGAGAATTTGTGCTTGTTGAAGAATTCTGAAAACTAGTTGGCATATATAAATGTATATTTGTTCTGGATAATGATTTCTAGTTCTGGTGAATGGCGCCTTCTTCATTTGCGGTTGACTCACTGCTTCTTCCCAGACTTCAGGAGATGACTCCTATACGAGCTTGCGCATTTTGGAAGGAGTTTGTAGAGATTTGAGTGTGTACAGAAGGATAAGGAAGTATACAGTCATTATCTTCTTTGGTTCTGTGATCGCCACATCACGGGACGAGAAAGTGATGATTCAGGGGAGGGGACGACATTTAACAGCAGTATCGCCCTATTTAGGATTATCTGAAGCAATCATGACTACCCACATCCCCAGAACCCAAGATGGCAATCTATCAAACTATTTAAGCCCTCACAAAACTTACCATCAAGCTGATAGAAATGAGTAGTTCAGATGGTCATGTCTACCAACGCTCTAACTCAAAAACTGCCTCAGATCCACCTCCTATACTTTGGATAATCCCGTCCATAGTGGCCGTATTCATTCTATTATCCGGATCAATCACATTTCTTAGAGCCTTTTGATATCTGTTAAGCTCTGCCTTCGTCTTAGCATGTTTACTTCTTTTGACCAGTAGCGATTCCTTGGTAGAATGGAGTTCCTCCGATAATGTAAAAATTTGGAATTTGGTGGACTGAAGATGCGCCGAGTCTAACCTGAGATCTCTCTTTGTCAGAGGAGAAAGTGGTGTTTGGGTTGGGCTTGCTCAACGAGCTGTCGTCCCCGTGGTCTTTAAGGAGACATTGCCTTCAATTGGGGACTGGGAATGTGAGTCGGACATTGTGTGAAGATTAAAGTGACAAGGAACTGAAGTTCGGATTGGCGTACTCATGGACGAATTTGAATAGATAGGTAGCAGGTCACATGGTCCTGGAATTTCCTAGTCCCTATGTGACGCTAAGTTACCATGTGACACCACAAACTTCGATATCAGCGAACCGTCTTTGAAGCACGAAGAGAAAGCGTTGTCCACTGAGAAGTTTTAGAATGGCAAACAAAATCATCTTGCGGGATCTAGGAAGAATACCGCAATCCTATAACTTGGGTATTATTCTTGACTAAACTCTAGGAATATTCATTTTATCTTAGTACTAGTATTGTTATAGCCCCTAGATAATACTTGAGTTTTTAATTGTACATCCAATTACAACGGAAGGCCGACCCCGAATTTAGCTGGAGCGAAGACGAATCCGCACTTTACCCATTGAGCACTGCTAAACCATTCAGCCTAAGTTATTATTCTCATACTGCTGGGTCGATGGGCATACACCTTTTTAAACCTTCTCGCATCGACAATATCCCCTAACATCTTCATACACTGACTAAGACGGGTCTTCTTCAGGGCATGTTCTACCGTCTCACTCTCCAAGTTTTCGTCCTTAGCGTCAAGCTGTTCTTACAGAGCGGTAATTTGGGCTTTCAGTTCATTGATGCATGTTCCATACTTTGGTGTGACCCTTTCACCGTGACAGAGGGTGCGGTGGTTGTGCTTGTGCTGCTCATGGACGTGTGGTCCATCGCGGAGAGACTCTGCTTGCTTTGTAGATCGTGCTCGGGACAAGACATTGTTGCAGAGGATTATGAAGATGGTGACCTGAAGGTCAACCTGAGGATCTTTGAAGGCATATATATGGGTAAGTGAGAGTCCACATGATACTGAAATTTGCCAGTCTCTGCGTACTTCCGGGTTTGATGCATCAAACTTCGATATCACCTGATCTATCTTCCGCAGGAACCTAGGCAAACCATTTCGCCTGGAAGCTCTGGAATGACAAGTAGAGTTGTTGTCCGAGGCTACGGGGAGATATTTCAATCCCGTGACTCGATGATAGGAGTGTGGTTGACAACTTATCGCAAATAAGATCCATCTCAATTCCGCTGCATCATGGACATATAACCTTCTAATTGAACCTGTTACACCATCGTGACATAATTGGAATAAAAGAGATATGATAGCACGGTTCCATGACCCCTATAGGAAGAGGTAAGTGTAAACATAGCAGAAGCCACTTGGAGACGATCATCTGCCTGCTTCCATAAGCAAACCATTTAGATCATAAGCTGCTGTCCAAGGAAGAGGTATTTGGACGCGTTCGGGAGGATCTCTTGGCGGGGCGTATGTCGGGCCAAACGCTGTCAACTTCGGGACCATGACCTGCATCGAAAGTAAAGCATATATTTATGTCAAGCCAGTTGGCGTAGTAGTCGGAACGTCGAAAGTTAAAGAGTGTGGCATAAGATTCGTTACTGGATGGGGTTGGAACTCGGATGCAAGTCTTGCGTCTCGCTTCAGAAATGAAGATCAGATTTACCATGCACATGCTGACATGACGGCATGTACATAGGTCGTATATCGGAAGCGTTCAGGTATAACAATCATATCTTCCCCTCCACACGCGATTCCAGGTTTAGTCCGTCATTCTTATGCGGTCAATATTGGCCATCATATCAATTTAGTCATGAATGAGGTGTCTAGAAACTTTAAGCGAATGACAGAAAGGCTATCGACGCTACCATCCTCCTCTCAACTCTCAAAGCCAATCCTAATCGACGAGGTATGGGCATTCCTCGAATATCATCAGCATGATGCTGTTCAGGACCAAGCGAATCTCCGAGCCATCCGACCAAAAAGTGGATTTGAGAATCTTCCCCGTGTTGGCCACTTGCCATCTTATGCAGAATCTGGACAAATATGCTCTCAATGTATGCACATGGAGCCCTCCACCAAACAGACGTGGTTTTGTGACAAATTTGTAGTACGCCGCGGTCATAGGTCTCCCAAAAGACTTCAATCTCAAGGAAAACGACTTCATGAACGTGACAACGGCATTCTTCATTGCGTTCATGCTGGCCGAAGTTCCGAATGGCCAGTTCGTTCTCCAAAGGACTCCTCGCGGACTTGAATATAAATTTAATGTTCTTGCCGTTGGATGTCCTCTAACATGTCCCGGCAGCAAAATGGCTCGCCTCAAAAATTACCTCTGGGGCATCGTAACTTGCTGCACTGCCGCCACAACCAACTACTCCACCTCCTGACCACCAGCATCTTCCTCAGTCTCTTGGAAGCCACCACCCAACCCTCATCCACAACCATGAGCAGCCAATGGTACACAAAGTAAGAGCAAGCTCCTGGTTCACTCTCTGGTACTACGGCAACGCCGGCGCGCAAACCATCGGTGGACTCGTCTCATTTAGATTCCAATATATGACTGGAGTAAGTGTTTCAGGATGGCGAACAATGTTTGTTGTGCTGGGGTGCCTGATGGTGATTGTAGGCGTGACGACATGGATTTATATCCCTGCTACGCCGATGCAGGCGCGGTCTTTGGACAATGGGGAGAAGGTTAGTTTGTTAAAGTATGTGAGTGTGAACGAGACGGGTATTCGAAACCATAGGTTTATGCCAGCGGAGATATGGGGGGCGTTGAGGGATCCGCAGATATGGCTTTTTAGCGTGGCAGCCATGTCGGTAAGGCATTCTGTGAGGGAGAACATGTGGGATGGAAAGGTGACATGGAATCTAGCTCTCAAGCTCCAGCGGCGTCATAACTACTTACTCCAGCGGCATCATCAAACAAACTGATATCTCCTTCAAGGAAGCTGCGCTCTTGCACCTCCCGACAGGCGCTGTCTGCGCCATCTCTGTCGCCATCGCCAGCTACGGTATCCGACACACCTGGCATCGTTGGGCCCAAATCTCCATCAGCGCTCTCATCGGTGCACTCGGTGCCGGCTTGATGTCCTTCCTGCGTCACGACAACAAACCCGGGCTACTCGTCAAACTTACTCTCATCCATTTCATCACAGCAACCGTGCCGATGATATACCACTGCATTACTGTGAATACATCAGGGTATACTAAGAGATCGTTCGCCACGAATGTTGTTGTGGTTAGCTTTGGCATTGGCAATATTATCGGACCCCAGATTTTTCTAGGGCAAGGATGCATTTGAGTATCAGCTAGCAAAGATCGCGGTTATGGCGACAGAGACGGGGTCTGCGTTTGTGACGTGTGCTCTTATGCTGTATTATATTTTGGAGAAAGAGAGGAGGGGAAAGAAGAGCGCTGAGAGGAAAGAGGAGAGCGATGAGGAGACAGATACTGAGGCTTGGGTGGGTTTGACGGATAAGAGGAACACCCATTTTCCTATGTTTACTGAGGTTGTAGTGAGGGAGTTTGGAAGACTATAAGCATTTGGAATTGTCCACCTGTGCTATCGATTTCGCCTCGACTGTCCTGATAAGAGAGCCGATTTCAAAGCATGAAGCAAAATGACGTTCTGTGATCGAGCTGGAGATCGAAGTGTTGTAGGTAGATGTGCAGGAGGTTTGAATATTCCACTCCGTACCACCAAGTATGGAGTTGTCGCAATCATTTTTAGAATCCTTGTGAGGATGTCGTGCCTTAGGTCATGCTGAAAAGTTCTTGTAGACGTCCGATATGACCTCAGATGACTGACATCTTCGTCTATGCTTCAACCTCACCATTCGTACAGTGGGTTCGACGCGAGCGCGTATCACGTATGTTGAGGGAGATATGTCAGATTCTGACCATGAATTGGCCTCACACGCCTTGTTGAATGGGTAATGAAGCCGGTCAGGGTACTAGGGAAAAGTGGCCGCCAGTGTTGTATTTTACGGTATGCGGTCTACGAGATGACATCCGCATCTAGAAAACAGATACCTTTGGCATCCTCAGGTGCTACATCGTTAAATGTTAGGGACCGCATATTGAGCACTATGTATGGGCGTACTCACTGCAACTACTGAGGAGGGAAGCCGAGGTGAAGGAGAATTTCGCCCTATCCAACTTCACCTTCACCTTCACTTCGCTGCCATCCTTATCAGTGGGTCGTCCGCTGATGAAGTCGACACCAAAACACGTGATCCCGTGATCCCGAAGATGCTTCAAACGCGAAGAATACGAAGTGTGAGAAGCAGTGAAACGCCATTT